ATGTTTCTACAGACCAACTTAGCAAAGCATTGGTGCAAATTTTGTCCTGCAAAATGGTTTCCACGGAGTGTCTGGAAGTGTGGGCAGTTCAAGATCAAGTGTTCGATTGTCTGATTGTCCCCACAGTAGGTACAATTTGGGTTTTTATTGAAAAGTCTATTTTGGTATTCTCCAAACACCCCGTGTCCAGTAAGTAATTGGTTTAGGTAAAAGTTGGCCTGTAGTCGTTTGGTGGAAGGGTCTTTAAAAAAAATATAGGTTTGTCGACCTCTCTCGGAGCTCTGCCATTCTGTTTTCCATCTATTTAGGTTGTTGGACTTGATGATTGTTTTGATCTGGGCCTTGGAACTTGGGACCTCTAAATTGATTTGGCTGAGACTGATGGCTTCCTTGGCTGCCTGATCCGCCTCCTCGTTGCCTAGGATACCAATGTGCGCCCTGACCCAGTTACATGTGATGTTTGGTCTCCATAGTTGTTTAGTATTTTCTGTCTCTTTGTTATTAAGTAGTATTGTGTATAACAAATATATCAAATCTGCTTTAAATTGACTCTGAATTTGTAGTTCCTCTTAACCAAAACAACATTACCAAGGGGGTATGTCCGGTAGCATAATCGTGTGCAGAAGCTCCTCCAATAAAGACTTTTCTCATAAACCAGATCGAAAGCGATTCTAACGGAGTATGTCTTGTCATAGTCTAAAAAGTTAAATAGTCTGTGCACCAAAATGTTAATTCCTTCTTTAAAAAAGATAACACTACAGTTCAATTTCATAAAAAGAATTAAATCTGAATCAGTTAAAAGTTGCGTAAGCATAAATATTTTTAACTCTTAGTTTATAAGGAATTTATTTTTTATTTCATTAATCTCAATAATTATTTCTTTGTCTACAACATAATTATTAAAGTACGGATCTGAAATTTACGTATAACCCCTTTTAAAAGTTAGAGTGGTAGAAAGAAATAACCACATTAAAAAAAAGGTGGTAGAGTCGAGCTACAATATAAGCACTTATGGCATACCTGCCAACTTTCACTCTTTCCGAAAATGGATTTTCAGAGTGGTTGTAAAACAATAAACGAAAAACAATCTGACTCAAAAATATATTTATATTTTGATCCCGTTGAAATACGCTTGCTCAAGGATTATTATGCTTTCATATATTTATTGTAATTATTTATATGTAGTGGTGGTCAAACTCATTTATAATTATCATTATATTTCAAAAAGTTAAGAGTACCTGAGTATTGCTACCACTTTAAAAATGAAAATAAAATCTTCCGGAAAATCCGGAAGAGTTGGCAGGTATGCTATGGTATTTTTTTGTATATTTCTTGATTGAGAACATAAGTAAGGGAAATTTTTTTGTTTAAAATTCAATTTAAGGTTTTTGTATTATTATATTAAGTTATCTTATATTACCGTCATTAAACAGCCGACCCAATTTTGGGTTTACGACTACTAAAGTTCAATTCCATACCCTTGTAATTTTGAACCAATCCAGAAGACAAGGGAACTTCTGGATCAAGTATTTGGAGAAATTTTCCTTAGTGGAGGACTTTTTGATGGAGCTAACCCGCATTTGCGTTATATGGAAAGGAAGACCACGATAATTTCGCGTCAGCACTGTGGTCGGTGCAAGCCGGATGCGGAATTCGTATCGACTCAGATTTGAATCCGGTTTCCTCATTGGAAGGCGAACGCTCTATCACCTGGGCTATCGCGGCTCAAGTTATCTTGTAGTGATTGCGTTTACTTCACAGAGAAACTGCTACCCATCGATCTGAAGCTGAGGTGGGGGGGGGTGCTTTAATCAGCCACTGTGAATCGAACCCCGGTTCTTCACAATGACAGTTCAGTGCCTTAACCACTTAACCATCGCAACTCTCATACTACTCTCGATTAACCAAGTTCAAATATTCTTAGACAACTCAGCAAATAAATAAATGAAACTGATGTATGTACTGCATTTCTTTGTTTTAGTATTAAAACTAATCATGATTCTAAATATAACATTGCAATTTATGTTCATTTTCTTTGTGCATTAATTAAATTCCTAATCATTTATGGGGTTGCCAACTGTGGCTTTGCTTTGCGTACTTTTTTTTAATCGGTAGAAACATGTAGGCTTTTTTGTATCATTATTGATTTAGTTCATTTGAATTAATGTGATTTTCTCTTTGAAATACTCCTTCCGTATGACGCATGTATATTGTAACCTGCACGTAATATGCCGCTTTGTTCTAGTTTTCTTAAATCTTTACTTCAAACAAATTCCTCAAATTATTTTTTTTACTACTTTATGAAATCGTTTGCAGAAAGCGGAAGGTTTTGCATTCCTGAATCTATTTTATGATAATTTTTAGGATAAAAGTTAAGTTTTTTGAACAGATAAATTAGTTTAATTAAAGCAACAAAAAAAAGCACTGAGTTCAGAAATAACTGGTGCTTTATTCACATTTTTGCTCTCGTTTTTGTTTATGTTACATAAAATATATCCTCTCCCTTGCTGAAGAGAATTTAATTAAAATTTAATTTCAGAAGTTGGAAGAAAAATATGCGGTTTATTTTTGGTTAAGATACCATTAAATCCTAGTTTGAAAATATGAAATTTCGCTAAACGATTTTCAGTCTTAAACCTTGAACATTTTATTAGTCTTTCAACAAATTTAGCAGATTAATATGTAAATATAATTATTCACAATTACTAGCATTCAAATAATAACTATTAATTAAATTTTTATTTGTATTATTCATTAAAAATAGAATTTAAGCCAATATGCATAATTCTTGCATAACGTATTTAATACAAAACTTAAAAATTCTTCAATATAAACACTATAAAAAAAGCATTGGCATTAAATTGAGCTTAATCTTTTTCATAATATATATATTTAAACCTAAGCTTTTTAAGTATATAAACCATATATAGTACTTTAGTTACCAAATTTTAGTATTTTACAAATGATTATTATAAAATATGATTTATAAATTTTTACTATTGAAATTTTATTGTCTTTCTATACAAATTGTGCAAGTTTAATCATTCTCTTTAAATTTTCCCTTTATAAAAACTAATTTATAAACTTCTTAATTAATATGTAGGAAGCAGTAAGCTTTGAGAATTTAAATATCTTTTGGACAAAATTAAATCAATCTAATCTAAAAACTCTAAAATAGTTTAAAATTAATTAAATGCATTATATGAAAATTATGAAATGAAAATTATGAAAAATATGAAAATTATATTTTAAAATTAGAAAATTACCTCTGTATACACAACAAAAGGCAATCTGAGACAAGGCACAAGACAAGAGGCAATCTAAGGGGTGATATGAAGGACGAAGAGTTTTTTTAAATTTAAATTAATGATTTTTTTTTGTTGCTATATGCACGCATGTATGTTAGGTTGTTAAAAAAGTTTTGTTTAGAGATGGTTCAATTTTATTGCCATCATGGTTTTTAATTTAACAGTACTTTCAATAAAGAAATTTAGCTCTACGTTTGACAAAAACTCAGAAATAAATTTCAAAATTATTCGGTTAAACAATATTTTTATCATTACGCGAATGATTAAAGGAAGATGAACATTGAAATATAGCTATATGTCCTCCTACTTCTATTTAGATAGAATCTTAATGTACATATTAGATAGTAATTGAAATTTGACAGTAATGAGATTACAAGATGAAAGATAAGGTAGTATAGTAGTATTTACATTGAGATATTAACAATATTAAGCAGTTGTAATTTAGTAATTATGTAAATTTTGCTATATAATGAAAGTCTTACTTTCAGAAAATCATGAAGTTAGAAAAAGTTAAAAGTTGCACTTTATCTCATATCTATATACAAAAAAAAAGATAAAATTTTATTAACAAGTTAATAATAAATTTAATATTTCTTTCAATAGGATTTTTTATCCAATAGTAGCTCTGTGATCCGGGTTCAAATTTCGTCATTGCGTCATCCAAATAGTGTTGCAATTCCAGTTACAGATAAAACTACGGCAGGGGACGTTGTTGAGAAGGTAGCTGAAGCAATTGACCAAATAATTGATCCACGTCATCAAACAGTATCACACTTGGACCAACAGGAGAACAGAGCTTTTTTGCAGAGACCTAGGTAAAAAAAAACATTTATTTATTATTTGATTTTTCAAACCGTTACAATTTTGCATCAGTATGTACAAACTTACAATATTCTTCTGCAGTACTTTGCAATGCGATTGTTATTATTGCTATTTTAAGCATGGAGTTCAAAGTGACCGCACAGCGTGTACAATACGCAAAATGAAAATGGACTATCTTAAATAGCTTTTGATCCGATGATCGGATCTTCATTAGAAGTACAATTGTTTTTTTATTATTTATTATTCAATCTTAATGGTTCGAAGGAGTGATTTCAAATATGCTAATTAATTAGTGTTGATGATATTTTAAGTTTCGAAATCACACTCCAAACTGTACTTTCTGTAGATAATTTTTTTTTTTTTTTTTGACGGACTCTGATTATTTTTGGCTCCCAAATTATTGGGGATAGCCGTAAATCTGGGAAATACACTCTATAACAAAAAAATCGACGCACCAAGAAGCAATAATCCGATTGCTTTGAAATTTCGTATGCATGAATGTTTTGAACAGATCAGGCTGGAATGATGCCGACTGGGGATGTATAGTCTTTAGCGATGAATCCCGCTTCCAACTGTGTCCTGACGATCATCGAAGACGTGTTTGGAGACGCACAGGGCAGAGGGGGGATCCTGCCTTCACCGGCCCTCAACAAGGCATTATGGTCTGGGGTGCCATTTCCTTTGACAGCCAGAGCCCTTTGGTTGTCATTAGAGGTACACTTACTGCACAGTGGTACGTCCACGACCTGTTTTGCTACCGTTCCTTAGTCCATTATTTAGGGTGGTCTGTTTATTTTTTGGTTCCTTGTACATTCATTGTTTCAACATATGGAGACAAAAGTAGACAATATTTAAGTGAAAATGTCATGTGCTGACATATATGCAGCATTCACCATCATTTATAATGGCAAATAAAGTATGCGGTTGGTAGGGAAACGCAATTAAAACAATCTTTTATCGTCCTTTCTTCGACCTATTTTAGAGGAACTCCATTTTCCTAAATAAAATGTATTAGCAATTGTAAACATAATTAATCATTTTTAAGTTGTTAAAACGAAGAATTGACTTTTAATATCAATGATAGTCTTATACCAGATAATTAAATTCACAGTTCTGAGCCTGGATTTGGTTTTGGTGTATGCATAAGCTAAAAACGAACAAAATGAGCTAAAGGACGTAAAAAAAACTGCTAGAATGGATGCCAACGAATCACATTTCTTTAATGTTGAATTTGGTTATTTTCTTTGAATTGCAAATTGTGATGGAAAAAAAACTATGTTTTACGCAGATATTTTGTTTGAATAATTTTAAATCGTAACCGAAATATTAATAAACAAATGATTTGTCACTAGTTTTTTTAATGTCCCATTTTTCGGTGCCCTTGTCATATTTCCAACGAATCCTTGAGTTTCGCGGAACACATTTTAGAAACCACTTATCTAATACATACATTGGCCAATAAATTAAAAATCGTTGATAGTATTTTCTTGGATCTTCTTCCGCAAGGCTAACAGTCCGAATTCGTGATGTCGTCGATTCCAAATATTTCTGGAGTACATTTATATCTAGAGAATACCATACATTGACCACATAGACTTCAAGATCCTGTAAATTAGATGGAAGAGGAGACTCGTGTGCGATGTGACTTACGAGCATGTTCCTATTCATTTTTACCTTGATAAACACCAAGGCACCGATTCCATACCTGCAGAACATATCTTGCATCATGTTACGGACTTTCGAGCATGTTCCTATTCATTTTTACCTTGAGAAACACCAATTCCATGTCTGCAGAACATATCTTGCATTATGTTACGGACTTTCGAGCATGTTCATTTTTACCTTGAGAAACACCAAGGCACCAATTCCATACCTGCAGAACATATCTTGCATTATGTTACTTCCCCCAGAGCTTTGTACGATGCGAACAAGTTAAGAGGAAAGCTCCCAAGTTTCTAATTCATTGGCCAAGGTGTGTATGTTGTTCGAAAATAAAATATCTGAAAATATATAAAACAGAATTTTATTTCCAACTATGATATAACTAGACGATAGGAAGGTATAGTACTGAATTTGTCAATAACACAACCCGGCACTCACATTTAAATGCCGATTAAAAATATGTTAAGTTTTCCTCCATCAACACTACTTATAGAAATTTAGAATAACTAAGTTCCACAAAAATATTGCATTTTGCCGGGAATTTTTTAATTGATTTTGTGCTCCAATTTCAAACTAGAAAACCAATTTTAACCTACAACCATTTTTTTTTAAAATTTGAAGAGGCTGTTTGAAGTTTATCAGCTCTTTGAAGTAGATTCAGCGTAACAATGATAAATCTCGAAAATTAGAATGATAAAGAAGAAAATAATTTTACTATCTGAGATGAGCGTGCTAAATATTATAGGAATTAGGAAGAGATTCTTTGAAGTAGATTCAGCGTAACCATGATAAATCTCGAAAATTAGAATGATAAAGAAGAAAATAATTTTACTATCTGAGATGAGCGTGCTAAATATTATAGGAATTAGGAAGAGATTCTTTGAAGTAGATTCAGCGTAACCATGATAAATCTCGAAAATTAGAATGATAAAGAAGAAAATAATTTTACTATCTGAGATGAGCGTGCTAAATATTATAGGAATTAGGAAGAGATTTCTTAGGAAGAGATTCTTTGAAGTAGATTCAGCGTAACCATGATAAATCTCGAAAATTAGAATGATAAAGAAGAAAATAATTTTACTATCTGAGATGAGCGTGCTAAATAATATAGGAATTAGGAAGAGATTTCTTAGGAAGAGATTCTTTGAAGTAGATTCAGCGTAACCATGATAAATCTCGAAAATTAGAATGATAAAGAAGAAAATAATTTTACTATCTGAGATGAGCGTGCTAAATAATAGAGGAATTAGGAAGAGATTTCTTAGGAAGAGATTCTTTGAAGTAGATTCAGCGTAACCATGATAAATCTCGAAAATTAGAATGATAAAGAAGAAAATAATTTTACTATCTGAGATGAGCGTGCTAAATAAT